ATGAGCCTCTAATCTATTGATCCATGGATTATTTACTTTCATTGATTCAGAGTACTTTCATGAAGATGAATTGAAGCGTAGATGCTGTCATCCTCATCTCAATGAATATAATAACATGCTGTAACATAACACGTCACCTATTATACTGTGTCACCCCGTAAAATTTTCATCATCTCTTTGTACATACTATACGTCCATGAGCCTCTGATCGATCGATCTATCGACTATTCATTCTTATCAAGAGCGAAACTGCTTCAGGTGAGCAACCAACCTGAAGTAGAGCAAACTTTGCCTTTTGTCTGCAGGGTATAGATATTGTTTTTTTTTGGTCATTATTTCATCATTTTTGTATTGTATCTCTATAAACTGTACCAATGAAAGCGATATTATTATCATTATTATTATTATCAATTGATAGTACTCTTATGGAGCAGTTGTGAATCAAAAATGTTACATAATATGTATCATCACCCAACGATGTCAATCAATCGATTCAAAACAACATTATATTACAACTTTTTTTTCAATGAAGAATTAGATGATTTGATCGGGTTGCGGGTATCGTTGAACCATCACATATTCTTTGGAATAGCCCAGTGTTATGAGTTGAAGAATCATCAGGCGAGTATAGAATCTGTTTCTATGGGCGTGAGTTGAATGGAGTGACTGAACATTGTATTAATAGAATTCCTACCTTATCTCGTTATTCTGAATAAATATCAGATATCAACATAAGGAAAGCTGTTGGGTAAGTACCACTGAAAGAATCCTCAAAGGAGGAAACAGTATTCAGTATAGATGGGAGGGGTTCATATCATTTCAATGTCATGCCTTTTGCCTTATGCGAAGGTAACCAAACTCAACAGGGACTATGTGATGACTGTGATGCGTTGTTCTGACACAGATTCGAACCAAATCTAATCACTTATTTGGACGATATAATGATTATTTCAGCTACTTCTGGTAAGCATGTCAAACTTCCATTAGAGGTACAGAGATGTAAATCTGATGATTGATATCAAATAATTTGAATTTTTCAATACATATCTTCGATATTTGGTTTTTGTCACAGACAGACAAGGGGAACCGACCGTTTCTGTTATATCAAATCATGCACATGCTACTATCTATAGGAAGATTGAACGTTCAATGAGTTCATGCTCCTCATATAGATGGTTTATAGACAATTTTTCAACTTGTATGAAAACGTAAGGCTGAAAAACAGGCTATCGACTTCTGAAGCAAAAGCTCCGTTTGTCGCGATCAAAAATTATCTGGAGTCTGCACCAATTTCTTTGTCTTTCAGATCTCTCACTACCACTCACAATCTAATGTGACGCATGTAATGTTGGAATAAAAGGTGTGTTCATACAAGAAGTTCAAGGTGTAGAGATAGTGATAATATATGCTTCAATATTCTTCTCCAGAACAGATAGAAATTGAAGTGTAACAGAGAAAGAACTACTCAGTCTGATTATCCCTATTGATTAGTTTCGACCTTATATTGAATGTACCATTTTAAACGTAACAACAGATCACCAGAGCTTCTCTGGTTGAACAAACTCGAAGATCCTCAGGTCCCCTGACCAGATGGGCTGTCAAGAAGAGGAATATCCTGTAACGTTCAGAAAAAATAATGGGAACCAAGGAAAATAAGGTAGGAATTGATGTTCTTCTCGAATTTCTGGAGGTAATATACCTCGTGAAACACCTCTCTTGGAAATGTGTCCCAGAGCCTCGCTGTTCATTGGATGAACGAGTCTTTGGAGAGAGATGTTCTGCAGGTCTCCAAAGTGACCACGAAGAGGTGCGAAGCCTCAACTCGACGGGTAAATCTTGCGGGGATTGCCAAGGAAGGAACAATTGTTGATATTTCGGAGTAGCATCGTCCATGAAAATATCTATGAAATAGTGCCAGATCGCTATCTTTCCAACGGTGTTCCAGAGAAGTGAGTGAGTTTGTGAGCGGAGCATCACTTACGAGACGAATCGCCCTTTTTTTGAACAGAATCCAACAGTTTCAGGGTATGTTTGGGTGCAACACTCCAAATATGTGAACAGTATTCCAGGGCAGGTCGGATCAGAGCAGCTGACTGGAAGTGGAATAGCTCCTGGCCCGAAACAAAAAACCAAGTTTTTGGGATGCACTTTTAGCAATTGATCTCACGTGATTTTCCCAAGAAAAGTTTCTGCTGATAGTAATATCAAGCATGGAAATGAATGTCTTCAAAGGTATGGTTTCTCCTGAAGAGCTTATGTTGGGTACAGTGAAATCGGCTTTTCTAGAGAAAAGTCATGCTTGTGTTTTGTTTGCATTGATATCTACCAAGTTATCAGATCTCTATTCGAGAATTGTTGCCAAGTCCATATTTATGTTGTCAACATTTCTCACTTGTTCGTTTCAGATTTGCCTGGCTGGTATTGGAGCCCTGGAAGAGAAGGCGGTATAGAGGGTACTATCATTCGCGAAGCTGTGTTCTGGACATGAAGTTGCTCTCAACTAATCGTTGATATTGATCAGAAATAGTGTTGGTGCTAGAATCGATCCTTGCGGAAAACCAGCATTTATGATAAGAGAGTCAGATGAAACTCTGTCGACCACTACATGGAGAGACCTGTTTGAGAGGAGACTAGCTAGCAGAGAACATAGCTGGATAGGCAAGCCATAAGATGGAAGCTTGTCGAGGAGTCCGTTTTGCCAGACTCGATCGAATGCCTTGGAGATAACAAGTGTCACGACTGACGTTTCACCATATTTCTCGATAGATTGCTGCTATATATGTGAGACGTAAGCGAGCAGGTCACCAGTTGATCTCTGATGACGGAGGCCATATTGCCTATCGTTGATAAAACCTTAATGTTCCAGGTAATCCATGAGCTCGATGTTGATAGCTTTCTCCATGATCTTTGAAATAATACATAGCAGTACGATCGGTCTGTAGTTGCTAGGTAGGGTCTTTTGGCCTTCTTGAGGAACTGGTTGTTTTCTTGTACCTTTCAAGTTAGACGGATATATCTCCAATTTGTTACAGTAGTCGAACAACTTGCAGAGAACAGGTGTCAGCCACGAGCTTTGTTGGTATTGGGACTCAATAAAATCTTCCTCATAGTACGTTGGCGAAAGTTGATATCAGGCATATGATTATATCAATTGGCGTTAAGTTTGGAGGTTGTTTTTCTGATGAATCCAGAACAAAATTTCCAACAAATTTATGCGCAAAAATGTTGGCTTTCTCCTGGGCAGTTGTGACTAGTATTCCATCTTCCTTGGTTAGAGGAAGAAACGTGCTGGAAGTGAAGGTACTCCCCAAAGCTTTGGCAAAGAACCAGAATGAACGGGATCCTTCAGGACATTCAACAAGTTTCGATCTTATTTTGACATTATGGGCATCCTTTGATGATCGAATCGTCTCATTGCATATGCCTCTAGCCTCGACATATTCTGCTCTAGTCTCAGGGCCTGGATTTTTCTGCTATCGATGGAATGCTGCCTGTTTGGAAGTGACAGCTCTAGAGCAGTTTCAACTAAACCAGGCCTTATCGATAGATGTCCTTGCAGTGTTCGGTATGTAGGTTTGCATCCCCAACATGATAATTTCAGAAATTGTCTCAGCACATCGTGTTGGATCTGCTGAGAGGAAACAAACTCTCTCTCATGGAACCGCTAAAGAAAACATTAGAAAGACCTTTCCAGTCAGCCGTATTATAATGCCACATGAGACGGGTAGGGAACATGCAGTTCTTGTGGAGCTCTTCCATGGTACTATGCGACAGCGGTTTCAGAGATTCACAGGTCTTGTCATCTTTGAATATCAATACATTACGTTCAATAGTCAGAATATGATGATTGCTATATCCAAACGTGATTTCTCAGTAGTAAATTGACAGATTTCCATACACTAGATATTCATTTTGACCCCTCCAAATTGATTCATGGTTATGATATTCTTGGTATTTCAAGATACACACTGAATTCTCTGGTCTCTACATTGGTCTTTATAAACCTTGTCGATTATGGTAATGAAAAGGTCTGAAACTTGGTATGGTATCATCCATCTAATTGTACTAGCACTGCTATTGAAAAAGATCTTTTTGTTATATCATTTCAGGAATGACAGTTGAAAAATTTCATGAACATTTTTTATTATATTAATTCATCAATTATCCAAGTATCCGTAGTTTATTTGTGGATTGAGTGACGCCGTCTGGATTAGAAATTGAACTATCTGCAACTATTTTGAACACACTTACCTGTTCGGTGGCAAATAACTGCCCTTCGCGTGTTAGATTTATTGTTATGTTTCTGAGTCAATTGAAATTATTGAAAATCAGAGAATTAGTCAACAATGTAGCCAGATGAGGTGAAATTTGGTGAAATCACACTCAAACGGCACATTATATCTATTCCAAAATTTGAAACAGAATGATCATTTATTTCAAAACTGTTCAAGATGCCCACCAATGTTAGTGGAGAAAAAACTCTCCAACAATACATAAGTTCTGTTCAAAACTGTTGTCTCCATCAGAATTTCAAAATTCAAAACATATAATGATCATTCCATTCGAAACTATGTATGTTGTCATCCCCATGTGAGTTAAACTGTAGCCAGTTGGAGGAGAAAGTAATTCTGGTGAAAACACACTCAAAAAACAAATTCTATCCATCCAAGATTGTTGACTTTATTTCAATTTCAGAATTTAAACATGGAATGATCATTTTATTCAAAGCTGTTAATGGTGCCCTCCAGTCTAAGTGGCTCTGTAGCTAGTTGAGGTAGGATGTTGCTCTGGTGGAAAGATACTCAAACAACACATGCACATTCCCAAAACTGATGTCTCAATCAGAATATCAAAATTAAAAACATAGGATGATTATTAAATTCAAAACGATTCATGATGCCCTCCAGTCTGAGTGGATCTGTAGCCAGTTGAGGTAAGAGGTAACTCTAGTATAAACAGTTGGACTGGTAGCCAATATGTTGTTCCGTAGGACACAATACCATGTTGAACATTATCGATGACCAATGGTCCACCAGAGTCACCACTGCAAGCTGAGCGACCACCAGCGCTTGAGAGACAAACTTCAGTAGGTTTCAATATTTCATAAGTATTTCCGCATACTCCGTTAGAAATGATGGTATTATTGACTTGACGAAGAACGGTGGTAGTGGTGCTCGAAACTCCGTCGGTCAGACCCCAACCGCTCACTCTTGCATTGCGCCCTGTGAAAAGATAAATTAGGATATCAGAATGATCCCCTCTGGTCAAATGATAAGGGTCAATTGCAGATGACATACAATGCATAGTTGTGTGAAATGGCTCAGTAATTTATCGAAATAGATGCATCAAATTCGAACCGTATGAAAGCTCATAGCTCAAGAAAACTCAAGAAACCATAACATAGTGATCGAGAATAAATAGAAATGGTAGTAATAGTCATCATTGAGCATTTGAATTGACACGGTAGAATTGAGTGCCTTGAGTATGATCAAAAATAGCTAAAATGAGTGAAATGAGAAACGGAATCACTATCAACTACTGATGAATGCTTGACCTCTCCAATAATGATTCGAAGGAACGTTCGTATAACCGCCACTGAATGAGATAATACAAGAACAAGTTTAATACTCAATTTTCGTCACATTTTGTGGAAATTCTCATCACCACTATCAGGGGTTTCTCAGAATCAGAGTATAGCTCCATCTTTCTCTAGCAATTCGTGTTTTAATCCACATTTTCATCCCACTCATGGAATGTCAAACGGATAAGTTTGCCAGATTGCCAGAACACTCCAACTGTCATAAAAATCCAAATAGGCTATGTAAAAACATGGCGCGTTACTATCAGTCGTTACCTTATTCTTGACCTATCATTTGGTTCTAGTTTGTGGTTTCCCTCTATCTAGCTCACCTTCCAGATCGATTCCAACGTCACGAAAAGAAGGAAGACGAGCCAATTGGATGCTTTTAGTCAAAGTTACATTCCTTTTTAGTTGAATGACACCAATGTCGTTGTTTATTTTCCTCTCGTCGTATTTCTCATGAAAGACCCATGTCTTGCCATTCAGAGTCAAAGAATCTGCAGCAGGTTTTGCGAGATCGTGAGCCCCGAGAGTAACGCGAACAGATGAAGCCCTGTAGAATATCTTATTGTAAATCAACGTATCTACATATCTATTTTCCCATTGAACACAAACATCCCTGAGATGTCACATTCATGTCTCGCTAGGTCACAATGCGAATTACAATGAAACATCGTTGGTATGGTCAGGGGCCTGTTTATTCAACAATACATTCGCAATATTCGTCACATTTAATTGAATTTGAGACTTGAGATGTAGGTGAATTTGTGGGGCTCCCTTACAACCACGAGTCTCACTGAAATCTCACATTCTTGTATATTTATGTAACAATCAATCAATCAATCAATTTTGATGTTGAATGATGAGTCACTCAATACGTACTGTGAGTTTCATTTGGTATCATAATGTGGATCATGACCAAAAGCGTCCGGAATAACAGTCATTGTGAGTTCAGTGAGACTCTCATGTTGAGTCACGGATGTGATGTGTGGCATGCATGTGATATGCCCTCTCATATCTCTGAGATCAATCTGTGTTAACTGGGTTTAATTATTTCTTTCGATATAAAATGAACAAAATGCCTCTCTTATCTCTGGAATCAATCTGTGTTAACTGGGTTCTATTATTTCGTTCGATATAGAATAAACAGAATGAGTCCATGGCAACTGCAACCAAGTTTCATTGTCATTTTGTGCAGTCATTTTTACAGAATTAATGAATTTACGGAATTTTTTCATTCCGCTTTACTTACCGATTGAGACAATGGGCAGCAGTGAGGACGTATCTCTCGGTGATGAGAGATCCACCGCAAGACCAACTAGATCCTTCTCCACTCGCAACTAAGTAGATTTGATAAGGGATAGAGTGAGGAACAACTTCTTGGCCGTTAATGATTTTTAACGAAGGAGTTTCATGTTCGTCTGGTTGGTTGATCGGTTCCACATAGATATTCTTGAATGGGGGGATTTCACTCTTTTCCTGGAAATTATCATGGAGAGGTATGAGTTTCACGTACAGTCACTAACTGAAAGAGAGCTATGTAGGTATTCGGAGAGCCTCCAAAAACGTTCCACCCTAGTTTTCACAATTTCAAATTGACAGGGGGCACATTCTTCTGTAATTATATATCCTATAGTTGTAACCTTGAAGCAGAACAAGCACCAACTTTCGATTCTCAATTGAAACACCCTGTAATCAATTCCATGATCGGTAAGTGATTACGACAATGAATCCAACAATACCAAGTTCATTGGGGTTTACTGGAAAGGATACATAAGTTACTGATTGGATTCTCAACATGCTGGAAGAGTGGGACGCAGAGATCGGATTGATCTGGTAACTCCGCCAGCAGAAATTTCTTCATCACACTCATGGGACTATGTTGAGATATCAATCAGCTTTTTGTGGTCGTTGGAGATAACCAGTGTTGAATTTGTAATCATAATCATTAACCGATCATGGAATAGAATACAGGGTGTTGAAAACCTCAAGTTGATGCTCGTTCCGCTACGAAGTTTCAACTTTGGGATATGATCATAACAGGAAAAAGTGTCTACCGCCATATTGAAATGGAAATGCACTAGCGAATTTTCCTTCATTGCATCACAACAAAGAAAACTTTGATGGAACAATTTCGATGAGCCCCCTGGTTTGTCCATCGATGATATAGTTTTTCTCCGGACCAACAGCATTAAGTTCGATTATTGGGTAATAATATATCACTCGTTTTTATGAATAATCCTCTCCACCGTCTGGGAAAGATAAGATCAGAAATGTCCACAGATAGTCATTGTATCGTCACATTTTGCTATAATTTCAATATCTTGATTTGAGTATCTGATTTGAAGAGTTATTTTCATGATCTGTAGTTTGATGGATGCAAAGAAGAATCAAAAATAGTAACAGGAAGCGTGAAGAGTCATTTGGGTCGAATTCATAATATCTGTGGGATATTATATACGTTCGAACAGAGAATCTCCTTGTCTACAAGATTTCATGGAAGGCTATGATTCATTTTGGAAAATATAGGCCAATAATTTCTGATGGTTGTTTCCTACTCTTTCAATTCACCTGGTTGGAATTTGCTATTCTCAATACACCTGTCCATACATGATTATAACTTTGTTATTCACTTTCCATTCTTATTCTCACAGTAATAACGGTGAGGAATCTAATTCGAGTTACCGATATTGGAATCAATCTAAGTGGAGCAGCTACCAAGAATCACATGTTTCGCAGGTGTCCAATCAGTATGCAATAACAAAAAGGAGGTTGAAATCCATATGAGTATTGATGAATCCTATTGAACAGCCTGTTTTTTTGAGGACTAGAAGAGATGACATATCGAATGATGCTCAATCCTTTGATGATGCTAGGATTGGACCTTCAAATTTAGAAGGCGGAAACTGCATTCCAACTCACAACTCGTTTAAAATTCTAGGATGTTAGGGTTAATTATCATTTTTGCCGCATTTTCGTGAGTTTGAGAATATGTGCTTCAATATGCTAGTTCCTGCAGGCATAGTTGAGGATTCCAACCAATCAGAATCTAGGATTGAGCTGTCCTTGTACCAAGGTTGATGAAAAGTATGAATACATGCAGAAGACAGCTACGGTATCGCTACGGTAATCCTGGCAGCACCTCGATGCCCTAGAAGTGGTTCGGATTCCACTATAAGCTGTAGGTCCCGCTCTTCCTAAATCCGCACAAGTTTCGATTTCTGGGGAGTTGGTTACCAACTTTGAAGTAGCGATATACAAATTTTACAAATTTTACAAATTTTACAAAAAAAAATTTTACACATCGCTCTCTACTCTCTACTATTCCCTATCATCTAAGCTAGATACTCTACCCTTTACCTGTGTCTCTCCTGGTTCTCTGACTGATCTCCTAGTGCTCTCATATTTCATTTGAAGCCACTGTAAATTATTGATGTATAGTGATTTCGTGATGTACATGTGAGTTTGGATCATATTCTTCACTATTATTATTCATCCTGTATAGTTAGATTGGTTTCATTCCTCTCAACCCTGTTGTTTTTTTATACCGATACTCACCCGACCTGAGTGATAAATCCAAAAATTTGTATTTGCGATTGAACGTTTTTTTTTTGTGATTGCGTATTTCATATTTTTTCCTCTGTTGTCATTGTTTTCAGTTCCGAATAATAGTTCCAATAATTTATTCGATGATTTTTAATGTGTTCATTCGTCAAGTTGCTGATTAAAATTGATAGACGGCTGACACTGACATAGTCAGCTGTCAATTCTTCTTCTTCTTTTCCTTGAGAAATCCTGTCCTGTGTACCCCTGTCCCTGTGCTTGGTATGCTGTCAGGCTGTGGGCCGGTGGTTAATTAAATGTTGTTATGGATGGAAAAATTCAATTAACCCCACTAAAATTCCGATATTGAGAAATCATTAGATTGTAGGAGAAGGAAAAATGAATCTGAATTGAATTTTTTAAAATTTGTTCGGAACTGTGTTTCCGATTTTCCAGGTAGATTTGATGAAATGGTTTGATCTAATGAATTTCCAGACCTTACCTAAAGATACCAGAGACCCGTTTTCGATGAAGATATTTGCTTTGAATCCGGTAATTATCCAGCATGAAACTATAGCCACCTGAGGCTGAATCCAGAGTGTGTTATTGGAGCCTACATTCCCGAGACTTCTTGATTCCTGGTCGATTCAATAACATTGACCCCCTGGTTTATACTGTAAGTAACAAGGAAAGTATTCCTCCTGTGCCTGTCTCCACTGTTGCTACTTTTGGGCATCTGTACAGAAATAGCGTTGCCCAGAGCAGGTGGTGAAAACCACGTCATGAACAATTTGGCGCCCGAGACCCCTTGGACAAGTAGTCTCTGTCCGAACAAGCCCCAAAGTAAGAGCCCCAGAGATGATATGAAATGTTGAAAGTTGTCCAACCCTTTACTCGCTATTTAGATGAATGATTATCGTTAATTGATACTGCATGAATTCCAACCTACTATTGAAATTTTTTTCGACTCTCGCCAATTTTCAGGCAACGACCATACCACGTTGAGTATACCTAAACTCGTCTGATCTTAGAAGTCAAGCAACGTCGGGCGCGGTTAGTACTTGGATGGGTGACCGCTTGGGAACACCGCGTGTCGTT